TTTAATGGGAGCTGGGGAAGGAGGAGAGAAGGGGAGACAGGAGGGGGCAGAGATTGTTGCAGGAGGTGTTGTTGTCAGTTACTGAGCAGGGCAGGGATGGCGGGAGGGGAGGGATGCTCACTAGAGGTGTACTGTGTCAGGTTTCTGTGTGGTGTCACTGCAAAGGCCCGGGAAGTATCAGGGTGGGTTATCTCACAGTCTGTTGGGACAGGGAAGTGCCTCTGAGGAACAGTGGGAGTAGTCTCCCTGACCTGAACCACTTGGGACTCTTACAGCCCCCTGGAGACAGGCGGAGACCAGCAACTCCTGTGGAGCCAGCTGAGATGCAACAAGGGAACAAAATGGCCCAGCCCCTCTTCCCTGTCCACTGCTGCTGTCACCTCCCCTATCCCGTCAGGCTCCTGAGCATTTTGACTCTTCTCTCCTCAGTCTGCAGTATCCGGCTGCTCTCCCTAGGGTCCTTCAGGCCTGTCTTGGTCATGTCTCCTTGAACTGCTGTTCTGTCCATTCTCCTCACTCTGCTACTTCAGCTCTCCCTCAGTGCCCTTGTCTATGGCCTCACTTCTTGCACTCATGCCTTCCTCTGCCCTGCCTCCTAGCCCCATAACAGTCTCTCCATCCTCTTCCATCAGGCAACCCTCTCTTCCCCTTCCAAATAATCCCTTCTCCTTTCTCTTCCTCACTTATCTCAGCCCTCCCACTATCTTTCTCTCTGCTGTTTTGATCAGACTGAACTCCAGAGCAGGGAACAAGTCTGATCTGTGTTTGCAAAGCACTGTGGAAACCAAAGTAACAATAGTGCCCTTCCTTCGAGTTCCATCCATCAGCTCAGTGGCAATGCCAGAGCTGAATTAAGTCCTGTCTTTGGTCTGTGCTCTAGTATGTGCTAAGCATTTGGTCACAACTCCTTAACTTGAGTCTACTGTGTGCTGCGTCCCTGCATAGGCTTCCATCCGTGTATGTGAGCGAGACCAAACTTGCTTCTGAGATGAGGCTCTTTCAGTCTGGTATGGTTGCTTCAGTAAACACTGCACTGCTGAAATAATGGAAATTGGTGTAGGTAAGAGGCAGGTCACACAGTGGCTGCAGCACAAGATTTGGCATTGGGAGAAGCTGGCTTTCACACCTGGCTAACATAACACTGGGCTGCAGTCAGCCTCTTTAGAGCAGACCTAATGACATGCCTCTTGCTGAAAAACTTTGGAACCTGCAAAGGGAGAGGGCTGTATAAGTCCTGTGTGTTGTTAATATTAAAGGCAAATGTCTGTAGTCTGTGTGTTTGCAGTTCTTGAATGCAGAGCTCTGAAGAGCCCCTGCTGGACTGCTCTGTGCAAAGCAGGCTGTCTCAGCCACAGGGAAAAGTGTCACTGTTGGCAGGAGAGAATTCTTCATCCCTGCTTGTTCAGGACTTCAAGTTCAGGAGAAGCAAAGAGCTTCAAAAATGCTTGTTCTGTGTGCCTTCCACCTCCCCACTGCAACCTGGGAACAAACAGGGCACATCTGCACCATGGTGCCAGCTGTGCCCAGGGTAGCTCTGAGCACATCACACTCATCTGCTCTCATGGGTGTACTCCACACTGCAAAATATGCTGGTGGGGCAACTCCCAAGGGTCAGCTGCTCTTGAATTCATAGAGACAGGGTATGGAGAGCAGCTGCAAAGGGACACTTCTGAGCAGCCTCTCAAGCATGCTTTCCAGTTTGGGGTGTATCAGTGGGAGTGGATAGACAAGCCCACAGGATCATCAGGGAAATGGGCCTCCTTTAGTAGGTGAAGCTCACATTGACTTTGCCCTTGTTGGTCCCCAGCGGCTGGGGAGGAGTAGGACTTCTCCTTATTTTTGGTGTCACTCTACACTCCTCAGTTGTGCCTGGAGGACTTGTGCTTTCAGTCACACTCCCACTAAACTGAGCAGGAATTCACTGCCCCTTTCCAAGGCCTAGCATAGTTTGAGGGCAGATGACCAAAGGTCCATCTCCCTCACTCTACAACCAGCCCCTCAGACCCAGGTTCTGGGAAATGACTCCTTCCCCACACCAAACCCCTTTCTGGTTTTTTATGTGCCCAGAGCCTTAGACCAGAGAAGAGTCCTCCACCAGGAAAGTAGGATGGAGTGGCAGAGTGGAGTTGGAGAGCCCCCCAAAAGGTGGAGGAAGAGAACACCTTGCAATACAGAGATGGATGGGGCCCAAAATATAACTTGTGGGGGGGGTGGGAAGAGCTGGGAAAGCCCTCAAATGAATTATTTTTTTCAGTTTTCTATTGCTGTTCCAGTCAGGGTCGGACATTCCTGCAGAAGCACAATTAGAGACGGAAAAGACCACAGAATGAGCTTTTTGCTGCTAAATCTTTGTTTCCATCCCCCAGGCACTAGCCAAAAGGGGTATGGAGCCCTTGCCACAGAATGAGTCTGTAATCCATGTGCTTGTTCAGCTGTGAGCTGCTGGGGTGCATGGAGGTCTCCTTGGGTGAGGTCTGCTGCCTGGTGCAATGCCAGAGTTCAGACAGGAAGGTCCTGGGGGGTCCTCCCTGGAATCTGTAATAATCGCTGTAACAGAGTTAATCAAGGAGCCACTGGCTCAAGTGGTTTTCCCTCGAGCAGGAGGATAATTGGAACTAGAGTTAGATCTGATTTTATGAGAGAAGGGAACATATCCCTTAGATCTAAATGCTGCAGTTTGAGGAGCTGTTCAAGGAAGCCTTGCATGTTTATGAGGGGGGTGGGGTGTACATGGCATTCAGGCTTGCATTGCCAGAAAGAGAAGGGGAGAATGCAAAAGAGTATGCGCTGAGCGAAAGGCACCCTCCGTGAACCTTGCTTGTCCCACATCTCACTAATAGAAGCCAACAAGTCATGTTTCTCCAGCAGACCGAGAACCCCAAATCACCTTCCCTAAGCGCAGGAACTCCCAGAGCATCCACCAAGTCATTCCAGTTGGTAGAGAGAACTGCGCATTAAGGCAGTTCTGCTGGGCCTGCCCAGGTGACCAGTGATCTCTCTGCTGCAGCTGACCTCAGTCAGAATTTATCTCTTTGCCTGGCTCTGAAACCAAGCAGTCATACATGTCATGATGTCATTATCCTGAAACGGCAGGCGACATCTGTTGTCAAAAGGCATTTGTAGGACACGAGCCGGTGGTGATGCAATCCAGGTTGTTTCTGCTTAGTGGAAACTTTGGGTTCAGCTTACAGAATGTGACACTTAGCGAAGATCTGGTAGCTCCATGGAGAATTGAGCGTCTGTTTTTTAACCTTAGGTCTAAGCCCATCAAACCCGCCTGCTTCATATAAAAGTGCCAATGTTCTCACCTCCTGTTTGCATCCAGTGTGACAGAGGATGATCCATTCCCCTCGCGTCAGGATTGAAGGGCTCAGATTTTTGCTTACAAATAGCTGTATTCCTGGTAGTAATAAAAGATGAAAGCATATGCCCCTTATTTGCAAAATGCAATGTTCTTTCACTCCATGTTACAGACCAGGATAAACTTGAGGAGATTAACAAACAGTGTTCCCTGAGATTTAATTGTACTATTGATTTTTTTGGCTTCTAGAAACAAACTTCCTTTCCTGTTTGTGTTATGCTCCCTGTGCTGACATGCCATTTTCTATCCAGGTTTCCCACAACCAGAAGTGACTTGGTATAAGGATGATGAGGAGATGGACCGGTACTGTGGTTTACCAAAATATGAGATTCTCCGTCATGGAAACCGCCATACTCTGCAGCTATACAAGTAAGAAATCCAGAGGGCCCATGGTCATGACAATTTCATAGTTTCATAGTTTCTAGGGTCGGAAGGGACCTGAGCAGATCATCTAGTCCGACCCCCTGCCATGGCAGGAAGAGCACTGGGGTCAAATGACCCCAATAAGGTGGTCATCCAACCTCCTCTTAAAAACCCCCAGGGTGGGAGCCTGCACCACCTCAC